TATTTATGGATTTTTCTCACTGATGCAGCTTTCAATTTAAAAAAAAAATCACTTTACTGAGGAGTCTTACAGCTCTTATAACAGTCAATTGTATCCAGCATATTTGTACAGATGTTGCCATCATCATTTTCTAAACATTAACTTTTTTTGAGCCCTTGGTATCAGCTCCTCTTTTCCCCCCTCCCAGCTTCCTCTCCTACCCTTGTGACTCATTGATAAATTATAAATTATTAGTGTTTTCATATCTTACACCAACCACTGTCTCAATGCTCTTAAAACTTCTTTAGAGTTTAGTGGCTGTGATAAAATTCTGTCCCATAAGAAACTCTATCAAGATTACCTGCTTGGAATCCACAAAACATCGCTATAACCTCTGAGCTGCCATCTCTGCCTTGAATCTAACAGACTCAGCACATTTCCTCAGCAGCCACTGGATTAATTGGACCTTTTGTGGAAAGCACTCTTTCGAGAGTAAGATAAATGTTATTTCTGAGAGAACTTGTGCACAGCTGTTCACTGACTGCCGAGATGTGTCTCAATATGATTGGCTTGGAAAACATCGGTGCATGTATGATCTGGATGCTTGCTCACAGTACTTGCTGACTTACTCTCGTGAATACCAAAAAGGGCCCAGAGCGGCAAGCATTGGCAGTGCATCAGGAAAGATATGCAAGGCAGAATATTTGTAGCCTTAGGCCAACCACTGAGGCTGTCTGCTTTATACGACATAGCCACTCACCACACGGATGTTGGCATAAAACCCCGCGTTTCCCTCAGAACAAGCTGGTTAACTGTGGGGAGTCAGTTAGCCTCTCTCTCTATGCTTCATAGGATGAATTTAATAACTATAGCTCTTGCCTGGATTTTTGTAAAGATTAAATGCATTCGTTATCTTTAAAGGGCTTTAAAAAGTATCTGGCCTCTGTAAATATTATGCATGCATTAGCTGCTATTTTTCTTTATTACCCTGGCCTAGAGCAGTGGTTCTCAACCTTCCTAAAGCCAAGACCCTTTAATATGGTTCCTCATGTTGTGGTGATTCCCCAAACCATAAAGTTATTTTTGTTGCTACTTCATAACTGTAATTTTGCTACTGTTATGAATCGGGTGACCCCTGTGAAAGGGTCGTTTGACCCCCAAAGGTGGAGAACTGCTGGCCTAGAGAAAGTGTTCCTGAGTAACTTTCCTGTGTTTTCATGTCAAAACTCCACAACAATCTCCCGATTTCTATTTGCCTTCTCATAATACTGTAATCGGAGAGAGTGAATGTTAGAGGTATATTGTGTAAACAATATCTTAAAAAAATGCCTGTTAGAAATTAGTAAAATAGCATTCTGATTGATACATCCATCATATCCATTTGTTTACATATTTACACATTCATTCAACATTTTTCTGTTGAGTACTTAATGTGTGGTAGGAGATCGATCAATCCTTGGTGGTAAAATGGAGCTTCCAAATTCCTTTGTAAGAATAGGTTGGGGGGGGGGCGGCATGTCGAAATTCTGATAATATGTTATTAATACCCAGAATATATTTATTGCTATCAGATAGTTTTATGAGTGCTTTAGTATTGGTAAATGAATAATAAATCTGTATGCTTATAAATGGGAACCCTGGTGGTGTAGTGGTTATGTGTTTGGCTGCTAATCACGAGGTCAGCAGTTCAAAACCACCAAATGAGGCTTTCACTCCCATAGAGTTACAAGCTCATAAACCCACAAGGACAGTTCTACCCTATCCTATAGGGTTGCCAAGAGTTGGGATCAACTTGATGGCAGTGAGATCTATGTTTTTGTTTTTAGTTAATGCTCATGAATACTTTTTCTTTGATAGCCAATATAAATCCCTTGAAATGCCAAGCCCTGGACAGTTTCAAAGGAAGGACCATGTACTCATTTGGGATTCACCTGCCTCCTCAGGGCCCAGGTGTACCTTGGCTAGATGAGCTCTTCCTGGTTAGATACTTTTTCTAACTCTAGGAAGCTGGTTTTCCCATTTTTCACTTCCCATTGGGCTGACTATATGAGGTTTTTGTCTTTCATCGGGAAGGTGCCTAATTGTCAGACCACCCTAGTGATGGGCAGATCCTATCAGCAGCAGACAGTGTTTCCTGACCAACAGTGAATCATTTCATTTTTCCCTGCATTATTGCTCCTGACTCTATCTCTTTGCTTGGCTGAGGGCCTTGGTGCTCGCTGGGTCAGATAAGGGGATGCAATATCCTGTTGTAACCCTTCTCTTGTAGATAAGCGCCCTTCCCTCAGTCAGCAGGAGGGAAATATCACTGCCGGGTAATGAAAGACGTTTAAACTGATCCGTCCCATAGGAGGGAACTAATAAAATCCCTAGCAAACAAAGCTCTTCTTTAACCTTTTGTTTCCTTTTATCAACAAGTGGAACTCACCATAATTTCCGGTCTCTTTCTGAACATTGCTTTTATTGAAGCATGAGAGGAAATGAATCTGCAGCTCCCGAGCAGATCGATGTGGAAAGTAAGCATTAGGTCATTAAATGTCCTCCTCCCCCGTCCCCACTGCCGACTTGGCCCTTGTCCTTGTTGCTTCTTCTGTGCTCCTTCCTCAAACAAACAGAGAAGAAAGGTTGAAAGTCTTGAGAAGCTATTACAAGAGGGGGGTTCAGCGATTCCCCATTGGGAGACTGAGTTAGGTTTGTGTCTGGCCAAGGCTGCTGCCTTGATTTCTGCTCCAATTATGAATCTAAGCTGGTGGCTGAATATATGGACTTTCTGGATCCAGATTCTGTTCATCATTCAGATGCGAGGCTAGTGCACACATTTTAGAAAATATAAGAACTCATCCTTCAGAAAACTTAGAGGAAATTCAGAGTGCGTATCCAGCCGCTGGACTCTCTTATTTTCTCCTGGAGAGCATGGCAGCTGGAACAAGTTGCTTGTGGTAGTCACCAGCAAGGAAACTTGTAAGCATTACGAAAACAATGAACTTCACATTGTCTGTAAAAATTTGTTGACAGCAAACATTTGATTAAATTGCAAGAACTGTTGATGTAGACTCATAGCAACCCCATAGGACAGAGTAGAACTGCCCCCATGAGTTTCCGAGGCTGTAAATCTTTACAGAAACAGAAAACCTCATCCTTCTTCCGTGGAGTGGCTGGTGGTTTTAAAATTGCTGACGTTGTAATTATCAGCCCAGCTTGAACCCACTACAACACCAGGGCTGTGAGCTGGAATTAACTTAATGGCAGTAAGTTGGGTTTGGTTGCTGAAATCCAGCAATGCTAATGGAAGAACCGATCATACAAATGGAAAATGGGGTTATCCTTGGTTATTGTACATTGAGTAAGTCATCTTCACTTGTCTGTTGTTCACAACTCAATGGATGTCTTGTGGACTTTGCCTGTTTATAGAGTGGAAAGAATCATAGGATGAAGCATAAATATTAATTAAAATATAAAACTCAAGACTGAAATGGTCCTGGACAATTTCTTAGATGGTAATCTAAGTTAAAGTTCTGATCATTCCAAATATTTGACTAATTTATATCATGTGCATATATTTTATGTGACTTTATGCTGTACAAATTTATGTGTGAATAAAATATTAATAATATTTAGCCTTTTAAAAAACAAAAGTAGACCTCTTATGTTTTGTTACCTATATATACCACAATTTAAAAAAAAGTGGAACTGTGCATCATCCTTAAATGGTTAAATATTCATATGCTTAAATATGCTTAATATTTAAGAAATGCTTAAATGTGCATATATAATCGCAAAGCAGGTGAGCCACTGGTTGTGATGCCACGTGGGAGACCTCCTCTCCCTTATAAACAAGCCTCCCTGTGTCTTTTGATGGACTGTGTTTTTTCAGATTATGCATTTAATAAATGATTAGTTATTTTAAAATGCATCCTTTGTAAGGAATGTGGTAACCCAATTTGGAACATAAATTAGGAACAAACACATAAATAGTAAGCTGCTTTAAAAGAGTACCTTTAGAGTTTATCTTGATCCTTTCCCTCATATATACATTTCTACAGCATTTCTCCACCAAGGGCACTTGGGTGATAAAAGAAGAGCTGAGACCATCATCTGGATCCCTTGCTCTAAGTCTATTACCTTCCCCCTACAGAAAAGAAGGAGGGTCTTCATTTCACTCTTCCCACAAACACTGTTTGAGCATCTTTGCATGCCTTACCCTGGACCCTTAATTGAGAGTAATCAACGTACCAAGAAGTCAATCTAGGTTTGAGATCAATGACCCTCATTCCAGGTGCATGAACATCACTAGCCTATATCCGGTGGGATGCCACCCCTGCAGGGCCCATTCCACACCGCACACAGCATGTCCTTTTTCCCCTCTCTATAAACCCTGTGGCCTGGTTGACAGTCCTCTGATAGTCTCTTTCATATTGCATTTAGATGGTCGGTCCTCCTGTCAGATTTCACCACTTTTCCATGAGCTTGGGAAGCAGTATGTTTTAATCACATGTCTTCCCTGGGGTCACTACATGTTTGATAATAACCATAAATCATCCACAGGAGCAACCTGTACACTGCACAACCAGTACACAGGCACTGCACTCAGACCTCTGTAGGTGCTACTTCACAACATATTCTTGAGGCAGGAATTCTCATCCTAGTTCACATGATGTGGGCAATTGGTCTGGCTCTGACTCCCCAGCTCTTTTGGACTTTAACTCGGAACTAGATCTATATTTAGCTGCATGTCTCATGAAGTAGGATTTATTATTACCATTTTAAAATGAAGAAAAGGAGCTCAATTTTAGCAATGTCGAGAGCACAGACTGGAACCCATAGCTCAGTTCCTCGGACCTCTAAGTCCTCCTACCTCTAAGCCATGATTTCCATGGCTTCACATCTCATTTCAACACCATACCACCCGGCGTCTCATGGTGTGGCCTCTTGGCTTTTTATTAAAATTTTCATTATGATGTGTAAGACTTCATTGTTTTATAACTAAAATGTTCGCTTTTTTGTTGTCATTTCCTTGACAGTTTGCGGATTCATTTAACTTTAATCCCCACAAATGGCTTTTGGTGAATTTTGACTGTTCTGCAATGTGGTAAGTTTCCTCATTCATTAGCTGTCAATTCCCTGCCCCCTTGCTCCTCGGCGATGGTTCGTTTGAAAGGAGACAGTCTTGTAAGCTAGAAGAGCCTGTGACGTCACGTCACTGGCTTTTGTTTCTGAAATATTCACAGAATTCTTGCTGAGTCGTACCCCTGGTTGTAAAGCATTACCTATAACGAACTATTGCGACGTGTTGGCAGAAGGAAAATGGAAAGCAAACAGACAAAAGCTGTGATTTGATTTATCTAGCATGAACAGAAAACAGACGTAAGGGAAGGGTGATTCATGTTTCTAATTCACTTGCTTCGGTGTTTTTGCCCCTAGATTTATAACCAACCCAACACCTTAAAAGCATTCTCTAAAGAAAAAAAGCACACACAAAAAAACTCCAGTTTCCTACGAGGAAAATCACAATCCCTTTGGTTATATTTAGATCAAGAAAAAGAACTCAGAAATTAGAGGACATGGTGGCACCTCGAGGCGAAGCTGTGTAAGAGACAATATGATTGGAGTGGTATGAGAGTGCGGATTGACGCTCTTCCATTTTTCAAGCCAGAGGCTGAGGAATCAAACTTAGGATCAAAGGGCTTTGCAGTTATTTTTTACAACTTTGCTAAATATATAATTAAATGAGTGGTTGTCCTACTTGGACTGGTGAAAAAATAAATCAGCTCTCACACAAGCTAATTAAAATTAGTCCCAGTTTACCCAGTGATCTCTTAGTCCTTTTGCTAGTTTATCTAAAGAGAAGCTGCAATTTGAGTGCTGTCCTTCAGTTCAAATAAAAGGATTTTCTTGTCAGATTTCTTTCTCCCAACCTTTGGTACTTGATTTTTATCACCAGTTAGTATATGGGCCCATCACATTTTATTTTGTTTTGTTGTTAGCTACTGTCGAGTTGAAACAGACTCACGGTCACTGTATTTCTAACAGAAGAAAACATTTCCTGATCCCACCTTCTTCACAGTTGTTGGCATGTTTCTCAGTTGGATAATACTTAAGGGTGCCTTTATTAGCTAATCTTCAGAAGTTCATCCTAGGCCTTTCCCCCTAATCCTGGAAGTGACACTGAAACTGTCAGCTCGGGTTGACCCCGTTGGCGTTTTAAATACCGATGCCACAGGTGACTATGAGCAAGGACAGGGGGTGGAATTCTATATTTTTAATCAGTATTTATAAAATCTATAGTTGTTATGAATGTTAATGTTCATTTTTAAGCTTGTAATTTGGCTTTTCTATTTTACTTCAAGTACTTATCTTTACCTAAAGGATAGTTATTCCAAGTGTTTCCATAGCCTAAAATTAAGTGTTGATTGAGAATCATGGGTGGTGCACTGGTTAATTCTGGTGAGGTATTTATCAGTTGTGAGGACTCTTTATGGGGTTAGTGTTTGGATGCCCACGTTCTGAGTGCTGTCTGAGAGCCACCAGCAGTGTGACTTGGTTATCTGACTACAGTGCTGGGATAACCGAAATACCCCAGGTGGGTGGTTTTAATGAACAGAAACTGATTTTAGGACAGTTAAGGAGGCTAGAAATCTGGATTCAGGACGCCTGCTCCAGGGGAAGGCTTCCTTCCTCTGTTATCTCTGTAGAAGGTCCTTGTCTCTGTTCACTCTGTTCCTCCATTTCTGGGTTATCTTCATGTGGCATGGAATCTCTCTGCCCCATACATGCTACCTGGCTTCTGTGTCTCATCCACTCTTTTTCTATTTTAAAAGTGATCAGCTTAAGGAACACCCTAACCTTCGTGAGGCTGACCTCATTAATATAACAAAGAAAATGCTATGCTCAAATGGGAGGAGAGCCACAGGCATGTTGTTCTTTCTAGTGTTACTGAGTTGCTTACAACGCACAACAATCTCATGTGACAGAGCAGAATTACTCTGTAAGGCTTTCTAGGCTGTAATCCTTAGGGGAGAAAATCACAAGGTGTTTCTCCTATGGATATTCCAGGTGCCACTTGAGCGTCTTCACACAGGTAACAGGCTTAGGATTTGCAATACACATTTTCGGGGAACACAATTTAATCCATTACACAGAATATATTACCTGTACTCTTTTTTTTTAATGGAGTCCTCCTAGGTGAGAGAACATAGCTACTGCGATGACACTAAGGTGCTCCATGTAAACTATGAAATCATTATGGATGAGCAGAATAAGAGTTGTCAGGAATGGAGCGGTTGTAACCAGGAGTGCCATCGGCAGCCCTGGCCACAAGCAGGCGCTCACAGCTTGCCACGATGTTTCAGTCATGACCTAGCTAAAGTAGTAATGTCAATAATACTGATGTGTATTAATAGACGCCAAGGACCTGTTTGAACCCTTGACTTATGTGTGTGTGTGTTGTGCTGTTCTAAATACCCATGTTACCAGAAAGATATTTTTCTTCTTTAAGACATGATTGCAATAATGTGGGCTTGCCTAATACCATACAAGGCAGGTAATAAATAAGGAAGTCTGTCGGAACTTTCAGAACAATTTAGAAAAGTGCAGGCATCTCTCTGAACTCCCAAGTCTTTAGGCTACTGGAGATCCCCTTGCAGAGGGGCCTCGGGGAGGAGATGAGCCAGTCAGGATGCGATGTAACAACGATGAAAAATACAACTTTCCTCTA